AGATGATTGACAGGCCAGTTTACAGTGACAGGGTGCGTGTATCTATGCGACAGAGTGTCCGTTAAAGACGCAGTTGTGTGACTCTTCTACTACACACTCAAAAGTGTGTACTTTTTCTTCACCAAAAGAGTACATACTTTAAGGGTGTAGTATAAGTAGGCACATTGAGATGCAGCATAAGTACATACAAATGGCAGAAAAAGTAAAAGTACTACGCTAGCATGCGATTTGGAAGTCGGCCTCTCTCTCTCTTTAACTTCCTTTCGTCTCCTTTTACATAATGTTTATTCTCAGCATTTATTAAATGGCTCTCTAAAACACTCGAGTTTGATTGGATAATCACAACATTTAAATTTTTCTGTATAATGACCGCTGAACTGTGTAACATACTGGACGAGTGTACATTATTCCCTCACACAGACACTGCCAAACCTATTTAGTGTCATAATCATAGGTCACTAATGAAATTACCCTCCAGCATGGCTATACTTCAATATAATTCAGATTTTATGACTCTGGGAAGGTATGGCAAAGAAAAACAGTAAAAAGGAATCATCAACTTCCCAGGCCTCGGCATTCCCCAAGAGAGGACGAGAGACAGCGTACTTTTAAACTCAACACTTGTACCCTCATTACACGTACACAAGCACTGGAGTTGCTGTTTTTCAGCACACTGGCCAAATAAGGGCTAGTAGCATGATAAACAGACCCAGAGCCAGCCAGACTGACCTCAGAACTATAAAATAGTACCTGCTGATTCGATGACTTCAGGCAGGGCTCAAACTAATCTAAAACAGTCCAGAAGAGCGAGCATTCAGTTGCTACTGCCGTTCACATGAGTCACGGGGGCAGACTTTGCCAGCCACACATGGACTCAATGGGTGGGTGGAGATGTGATGCTGGCTATTCAAGGAAACTTATCTGCAAATGCTCATATCCACCCATCAATAAACAAGCTTTAGAATGACTGCAGGGGTTTAGCTAGGGTTACACTACATGCAATAATAATAAACAGCACAATGCCATCATCTTGTGCATTTCTGCACAGAATCAAAACTTGCTGCTATTCAGCATAGTTTAGTCAGAGTCAAATTAAGTGTAGAAGAAATGGTTACAATTAGGGGTTTAAAAAGGTGTATAATTCTGGCAATTAACACATCATATTGTGTTGATTTCAGAATTTAATAGTTTAATTTATATTAATGCTGTCAAACGATTAATCGCGATTAATCGCATCCAAAATAAAAGTTTTTGTTTACATAATGTGTGTGTGCTGTGTATATTTATTATGTATATATAAATATACACACATGCATGTATGTATACATTTTGAAAATATTTACATGTATTTACATGTATATATTTATATTCATATAATTTATATTATATATAAATA